TTGCTTAGTAATGTTTTTCTTTTTTTTATTAATACGATAAATAGCGTCGTAGATAGATCTTAGAGGCTTCTGAAAGTAGATAGAAATGTTTTTAATAGCTATATTAGCGTTAATAAGCCGATTAACTTCAGCTTCAAATTTAGAAAGTTTTAGATCCATCGAGAGGAAATAAAGATCTAAGAGACTAAGAATTAAAAGAGTGATATATATATAATATTCTAACTAATTACTGACTAATATACCGCTTATATAAGTATAGGCTAAGTACTAGATGTATTAAGAATCTATTATATATATAAGCTAGAGTAGCTAAGACCTGTTATGGGCGGAGAGGCCTAGCGAATGAGTATGCTTCTACCTATCGTACAGAAGCTAAAAGATAAGAAAAAGAGAAGATAACTAAGTACAGACTTCTCTTATACCTGCTCGCTTCTGATCACGTGTCCGTACAGAAGGTATATCACGTGGTCGAAGATCACGTGATCCTCTTCAGTAGAGATCACGGGCGCAGCCCTTTACAATACTCCCCTCCTCTACTCGTACGGACATGTTTTGCGTTTGTTTATTTTCCTAGGAGCACGCGGCTGCCTAACTTGCGGTGGAGCAGCGGCGTTTGTTTGCTCTAGTGAAGGAGGATTTCCACGAGAGCAAACGCTCCCTCCGTACGATATGTAGAGCTGCCGTCTCTCTCCTTCAGCTTTTTCTTCCTTTATGTTAAATCAATTTGACTCCACTACTATACAGATTTCTTCTTTTCTTTCTAACCACACTCGTACGATGCCGCCAAAAGCGCAACCACCCCCTCGCAGTGTTTGGGCCAACGCAAACACCAACAGTTTACAGTTTTGCACTAACAGTGGCCCTAATAACACTATTAACAACGTGGCTAACCAAATCTTCGACGCTGCCCACCAGGCTCTGACTCGTACGACGCTAGGCGCTGTACTGCCAACTTTCAACATGCCAGGCGCTGTTAACCTAAACGAGTATCGTATCTAGTTTATCTTCGATCAGCGCGTCGCAGATAAGCTACGCCGTGTTTATGCGGTTGCCCCTGTACGTAATACTTTTCTAACTTCTTATACGGCTAGTGTTAACTTACATAGGAGGACATTCGCCGTGTTTTTAACTACTTCTGTCGCCCTCGCGGCAACAGTCCGTACGATGCTGTCTTCGGTCCGGGCCCTCGCGACTACTCACCTATGATCGCACGTACGACTATCACTGCTCAGCAGATTCTCACTAGCCGTCCGTCCTACCTCAAGGCCTTTGTTGTGCATAGCCGCGGCGCTCTTAACGCGGCTTTTTATACGAACAATTGCGCCGCTGTTCTACGAGGCGAGAAGAAGTTTACCGCATTCGCTGGCTACGTGTCCATTACTAGTAAGTAGAGTAGAGCCTGCTCTAACTGCGTCTAGCAAGACCATGGAGCTCGTTGCAGTGTCACTCAGCAGGCAGTCTCTCGTATAGGAGGTGGGCGCAAGAGGCTCCCTAATGGTCCTAGCAGTAGCAACCAGCGTGGTCGTCCGGCTGCGGGTGGTGCCGAGAACCCCCTGCTCGTGGAGTAGGTGGGCCTACCTTCGCCAGTTTCTTCTAAGTCGTCCATTAGGTTGTCGTCCAGGTTAGGTGTGGGACAACCATGACTGTAGGGCCGTAGTGTTAGCGAGATGGGCGGCGGGCTCCCATGTGGGCTCGTCGTAGCCCACCCAATAAACAAGGTATTCTATTTGCCTGCGCCTTATTCTCTCGTCCGTGATGTCTCGTACTGTCCACTCTAAGTGTTCCTCATTATTTTCGTTATCTTGTACGACTGTAGCAGTTAGGTTGGTATCGTCCGTCTGCTGCAATAGGAATAGGTCGTTAGCCGCCGGACGGAGCTTATCTACATAGTAAGTCTTTATTTCCCATAGCACGGCTAATTCCACCCAGTAAGGGTCTCGTACGCGAGCAACCTGGAACTTAGCGCTTTTCTAATTAAGTTTCTTACTACTTCTAGCCGTACGTACATCGCGTAAGTCTAGCCATACCCAGTCTCCTACGCGGTAGGTGGGCGCTGGTCTGCGGGACTTATTAGCTTATCGTTCTTGTTCTTGTTGGGCGTAGGTCATGGCAGATATAGCCTAGTTAGCAGCATCACTAATCGTCCGGACAATCTCCTTTGCAGCTTCTCCTACTTCGTCGGCTTGCGTAACCGTTTAGGGCTGGGGGAAAGGAGTGTTATAGTAACTATGGTGCAGGAAGAAAGGTGAAACTCCTATTATCGTGTTCGTACGGGAGTTGAGCATAAGTTCTAAAAGGGGGCAGAGTTATGCCTAGTTATCTTGATCGTAGTTGCAGAAGATCCGTACAACTACTTCTATATCGCTATTAGCGCGCTCTGTTGTTCCGTCCGTCTGTAGGTGATAGGCTGTTAAGAGATTTCTCTAGATACCAAGTAGCTGGCAGACCTATTTCCAAAGAGAGCTGGCGAATTGGGGGCCGCGGTCGGACGTGATAGACTGTGGAAGGCTGTGATGCCAGTAGACTTCCCGTACGAAGGCCCAAGCGACGTCTGTTGTCTCAATCTTATCCATAGGGATTAGCACGATGCCTTTGCCTAGTCTGTCCTTCACTACCATAAGATTGGTTTTCCCTTGAGAGCTAGGTAAACCCGTGATAAAGTCGACTATTAGATGTTGCCACGTACGACTAGGAACGGGTAATAGTTTCAAGTACCCATGTTTCCCGTCCCTCCAGGGGGTGCTTTTCCGGCATAGCTCGCAATTCCGTACGTAACGGCGTACATTAGTGCTCATGTTTGGCCAATACCATTCTCTTGCGATAATTCTATATGTTTCCTCTCGTCCAGGGTGTCCTGTTAGCAGAGACAGGTGCGCAGTTTGGATTACTCCTGTCCGAAGTGGTTCACATTCAGGTACCCATACTCTATTACGCCAGCACAACTTATCTTCAGCGTTAATCGTACAGTCGCCTAAAGAGATAGCAATCTTACGAGAGCTAGGGAGAGATCGTTTTCCTTCCCACACAGCCGCTCTTATTTCTTGGTATAGGGAATCTTCTTATGCGGCGCTATCCCAATAATCTCATACGAGCGTAGAAAAATGTAGTGGTCGCGGCAGTGTAGTCGACACTAGGGGAGAGATATCTTCTTAAGTGTCGGTAGTGTCTCGTACAGGCATAACCGCAATACTTTCCTGGGTCTGGGCTGGCACTAGCATGATGAATTCTCTTAATGCTGAATGCTCGTCTAGGTCGTCCTTCTACATATCTTAGTCTCGCCTAGATAAGGCGTCCGCCCGTACGTTCTCCTTGCCAGGGCGGTAGCGGAGTTTTATATTTAGGAAGCGGGCTAGTTCCAAGTTCCATCGTACGTGGCGTTCGGAGAGCTTTTACTTATAGGTAAAGTATTCTAGGTTCTTATAGTCTGTGACTACTTCGAATTCTCGTACGCCTCGTAGTTCAGCGTCCCACTCTTTTAAGCAGCAGATCACCGCTAGTAGCTCTTTGTCGTGGATTGGGTAGTTCGCTTCATGAACTAGTAGCTTTCGGGAGAAGTAAGCTATCGTACGTAGGGTACCTTTGTCGTCTTCTTACAGAAGTACAGCACCCATTGCTCGTCCAGATAAGTCACACTCTACCACTGTCCGCCTGTCTGGGTCGAAGGCAGCTAACACTTCATCGGAGAGGAAAGCTTCCTTAAGGGCGGCAAAGCTCAGCTCTTGGTCTCGGCCCCATTCGAATTTAGCGTCTTTTCTTGTTAACCGTACAAGAGGTTCTACCAGTCTTAAGAAGTTAGGGATAAATCTGCGGTAGAAATTAGCGAACCCGAGGAACCCTCTCACGCCTCGTACGGTAGCTGGAGCTTCCCATTCTTGAATAGCTCTTATCTTCTCCATGTCCATTAAGACGCCCTTCCCTGCTTTAAGAATAAATCCTAAGTATTTCGTACGTTAGACGTTAAACTCGCACTTCTTAAGTTTAAGCTGTAGTCCCGCAGCTTGCAGACGCTCGATTACTTGCCGTACGTGGTCGTGATGTTGGGATATTAAGCCATCCGTGTAGATTAGGATATCGTCTAAGTAGGCGGAAGCGAAATCGTCTAGAAACTCGCGCAGCGTCTAGTTAATATAGCGCTAGAATATACTAGGAGCGTTAGTAAGCCCAAAAGGAGTAACTAGCCACTCGTACGACCCAAACCGGGTGCGGAAAGCAGTCATCTATTCTTAGCCCTCAGTAATCCGAATTTTATAAAAGGCGGCTGTAACATTAAGCTTTATATACTACTTTACTCGTCCGACTTAATTTAGCGTCTCCCGTATAAGAGGCAGCGGATAACGGTCCTTACAAGTTAGCGTATTTAGGGCGCGGTAGTCTACGCAGAATCTTAGTCCTCCCCCAGATTTCCGTACGAAGAGGACTAGTAACGCGGCAGGGGAGTTACTTGCGCGGATGAACCCTTTCTCAAGTAACTCGTATAGTGTCTTGCGTAGTACTAGTAGTTCATCTCTAGACATATTATAGAGAGATCCGTACGGGACTTCTGGCAGCTTCCCGTCGTCCTTAGGAATCAGTTCGATCTTGTGGTCAACGTCTAGGCCTCGTAGAGACGGGAGCTCGTCTTCTTTCTTTAGGGTAAATAGGGAGGCGTACGGTCGTAAGTATAAAGGAAGCGACTTAGTTACTTCTGCTATAGTTAGCTGTGTCTTTAGACGGAGAGCTTTCTCAATGTCCTAAAGACTAGCAGCGAAGACTTACAGAGCTGGCTATTTTCGGCTTTGTCGTACGTAGGCCTAAAAGGCGGCTGCTGAGATTACGGCGAAGTTCTGTAGTGGTTTGGTTCTCTCTGTGCTAGGCACAGAGAGATCGTAACGTGGAAAAAGAAGTGTTCGTCCGGCCGCATCAATAACACCTCCTACATCTTCAAGCCAGGTTTTCCCTAAGATGATGTCGTACTCGTACGTAGACGTGGTGATAAAAGCGGCTGCTTTTCGCTTAATCCCTCTAACGTCTATAGTAAATTGAGTAATGGCTCCTACGGTGCTCTTCTGGTTATTAACACCTTCAATCTCCCTAGTAGAGATAGATACGCGCGGCAGGTCAAGTTCTCGTACGAGTCTTTCATATACTATCGCATAAGTGTAGCACCCATTATTAATTATAGCAGTAGCGTTTTTCAAAAGATTAACGATTACGTCTATAGACATTGGCTGAGTAGGCTTTAGTTGGTGAAGTAGCTCTTAGACAGGTCGTACGACCTGCTTAACCTGCTTTGGCTGCCCTAGTCGGCGTTTTTGGACTAGGGCTCCTCTTTTCCCTCGTCCAAGCTCTCGTCTTCCAAGGTAGCAGCTAGGACTTTTGTCACGGTCTCTAGCTTGCGCGTGCGTTTTAGGACTGCTGCTTTACACTGTCGTACGAGGTGGCCGTGGATACCACAGCGTAGGCAGCTGCTCTCCTCCTTACGTTAAGCAATTTAGTTTTGTGTACCCCAGTACTCGTTCCTCATACGGGGACGCATGGCGCCTACATTAGGCGTCCAGTCTATTTCGTCCACGGCAGCTGGGGTAGACGTAGGAAGAGAGGTCGAGTAAGAGGGCGCGTTAGACGAGAGTTGGTCAATTACCTTAAGATTCTCCCAAGTGTTCCTAAGTCGATGAACAAAGGCGTCGTACGTCTCGTTTGAAGGAGGCTAGTACCCAGCTTAGTAGCGTAGTAGCTTCCTATTAAGAGAATTCTTAAGATAGTCAATTTTCAGCGCGTCGTTATCTTGTCCGAAACTAGCTTCGTTGAACTTTAGATTGAAAGCTCGTACGTGGAAAAGAAACTCGCCTTTTCCTTGCTTAGTCGTACGGAGATACTGTAGAGCTTTTTGCTTAATTAAAGGGTCTTCGAAGAACGCGTCTAGTTGCTCCTAAAGCTTACTCAAGCTAGGTGATAGATTTCTACTCGTGAAGTCTTGTACGTAAGCCTATAATGCTGAAAAGGCTAGTCCTCCCGTACGGGAGATTACATAGTGAGCTTAGTAGAACTCCGTAGGGTAAGCCAGATAATCCGCCGATAGTTTCGTACGGATCTGCATCTTCCACTGCGTGTATTCTTCGTGTGAGCCTTTCTCGAAGATTCTAACATCAGGGAGTCTAGCTTTTCCAAACTCTTGTACGGGCGTAGGCGTAGCCAGAGGCTAGCTAGGAGGTTGCTGACTTTCTATACTCGGCGTGAGATTAGGAGTCTGTGCGTTAGGGGTAGCTTGCCCCTGTGCCGTACGGAGGAAAAGGGCTTTCATCTCTTAGAGTTCTTCTCGTACGCCTTCAGCGTCCTTAAGTCTTATAGCTATTTGGTCTAGGTTTCGTCGGAGTAGATTATTCGTTGCATTAAGTTGGCTCCAGCTTTCTGCGAGCTCCTCGTACGTCGGAGGCCTTGGCGGGGCGTTACTAGGTTCTAGGTTTGGCATAGGCTCATATAGCCCCATCGTTATATCTTGTTCGTTTTGCATTCTTAATTCTCTCTCGCTCCGTACGAGAGAAAAGAGTAAGAAGGGTTAAAGTGATCTTTTAGCTTATGTTATGGGCGGAGAGGCCTAGCGAATGAGTATGCTTCTACCTATCATACAGAAGCTAAAAGATAAGAAAAAGAGAAGAATAACTAAGTACAGACTTCTCTTATACCTGCTCGCTTCTGATCACGTGT